TTTTTATTATTTTACCATTTATAATTTTTTTCTCATGCATGAATAGGATATATGTGTCCCATTCATTTTCTCCATAAAGACTTCACAAAAATGTATTTTAAAGCACATGCAGATGAGTTACAACATTACAAACTTTGATTTGAAGAAGAAAAAACCTGTGATGCAAAACTTGATTTTTCTTGTAGTTTTTCATGTAATCTGGATTACATAATCAGATTCCACAAGAACTGTACTTGTAATTATATTGCATTTTAAAATCATCATAATCAGATTAGAGTTACTTGTTATGGATTACATTAAATATCATTCACACAATGGCATCTATTGACTTTCACTAATTATTGATCTGGACAAAAGTCAGGACAAACTGATTTAAAACCTGAACACTCTTAATGTGTAATGTCATCGCTGTTTTCATGTGATGCAGGGATTCCCAAACTTTTTTGTCAGACAAACCCCTTTGACTTAAAATATTTACTTGAAATCCCCTGAGATTTTGAACAAGTTATTTCAAAAGTAATCTAAATGTAGTCAGAATACATCACCTAAAATGAGTAATCTAGATTACAGTACAAACTACAATTTTCTTCATGTAATTTGTAATAAGTAATTATACTTTGCACTGCTTACATGTCTGTGGTTTATACAGAATCATTCACCAGTTTCTCAATAGAGAAAATGAATCGGACTTCCAGAATACAGAGTAATATTATAAATACATTACAATTTTTGGACAAAGCTTGAAAGATCAATTCAGCCTCTGAGGTATAGTAAAAGTAACAGTTCTGAGCAATGTCAGTAAGAGTTTGCATAATGTGTTGGTTATGTATAACCATTTGACAACAGTTGCCTATACATTTTGGATCAAAGACAATTACCTCATTTTTTACTAGTATATCATGTTAAATTGTCCTGTGCATGAACTTAAAATAGCTGCGTCATACAAATATTTAAGAATGTATTTTATATTGCACAAAGAAACAACAAACGTCAAAGTCACTTTCCAGAACCTTAACCCTCTCTGTTGAACTGTGGTGGATCAAGGATCCGTCCTTATTCATCTTATTTGAATCATTCCTGTAATAAAGTGCTTGCGATGCTCATCATCATGACTTGGATAAAACCACTTGCTAAATGATTAAATGCAAATATATACTCTAGATACAGTGAGTGTCACAGTTTACAGGAGGTATAATAAATAATTGCACTCGTTTCAATGCCCGGACTTCGCCTGTGCTTTATCCCTTCTTCATCTTCAACTAGAGTTGTTATATCAAAGCCAAAGCAATGGGAAATATAACAAAAATGTTTAAAGAAAGACAAAGTCTCTTACTCATGAACACAAATACCCCTTGAAGCCACGCAATCATAGGATTAAACACCAACAGAAAGCATAGGAAGAGCACAAAAAATAATATAAACATGAATAAATGATTGCATGATCATAAATGCATAATAAAACCAAAACACAACTCTGATATGCAATTACTCTCTTGACGATAAGAGACACTAATTACCTTACAATCATGTTTCCAGTGTTACAAGTAGTGTTTAAGTTCAATCTCAAAATCAAAACCTAGAACAAATACAGTATGTTCTTGTAAATTGGCTTTAAAGTTGTAAATAAAACAAATCTTAAAGTATTATATGTTTTACAGTGAAGATTGCTTCAGCAGCACATTTTTCTCATTTTATAATGACACTTTTGGGATAGTCTTTCTCCTTCTGTAAGAAAACAATGAATCAGAGAAGGTAAAGTTAGTGAAATGAACAGTGCTCTTTGCAGTTACAATCAGACACAATCAGCACATCTGTCATAGCAGTCCGTTAGATTCTGTTAAAAAAGGTGTATTTGCCATTAGGATGATTTTGTCAGTAAAATCTACGTGTGATCTAAAGTTAGTTTTCACAACCGTGTCTTACCTCATCTTTGCACAATAGTCCTTCATTGTTTTTATTCTTCCTTATTGCTGTGGGGGGGGGGGGGGGCTCCAAACATCCAACAAAGT